CTTCCTTGCGATACGACCCGGTGTTGAATCTTTCGATTCTACTCCGGTAAAAATACATACAACAGTTATACTCCTATTACATTTTCTTTTATATCTTGTTTATAAGATGTGATGAATGACGTAAATTTGGTATCAATATATGTATAACTTTTGTGATGCAGGCGGATACCATCAAAACTTGTTTGGTCAGGATATTATAGCTAATGGTGGGCGATTTTTTATTAGGAATAATAGTTTTTTTTTCTTGATTTATTGTAATTGGAGATACAATTCTTTCATGATTTTGTGCTATATTATTCTCTTGTACATACACGAGCACAATGTTAAAATCGGTGGATTCTGTTAGTATGTTTTTGTTATATTCTTGTTTGTGTTGTTTTCTTGTTGGTTCTTGTTTCTTGGTACATGGGTTACGATTTAAGTCACTTGGATCTTGTTTATTGGTATCGGGGTACATAAAAGAAAATAAATAAATAAATAAATAAAAATTCACATGGATAACGCTTGTTTAGAAAAGTGTTATATGTTATCATCATCTCAGATAACACTTTTGTTAAAAACTGTTATCTGATTAATATTATAAATAACACTTTTTATAAAGTGTTATGTGAAAGGTTATTCACATAACGCTTATTATAAAATAGTGTTGTATGAAAGGTTCTTCACATAACGCTTAGTATAAAAGGCGTTATGTGAAAGGCTCTTCACATAACGCTTTTTAAGCGTTATCTGAAGAGACCGACCTTCAGATAACACTGATTCTGATAACGCTTAAAAGCGTTATCTGTAATTAAAAAAAAGCGCTATCTGACGTCTTTTTTGGCGTAGTGTGTGGCATTGGGGAGAGCCCTATTTATAGGTTTAGGAGAGAGAGTCTTGGAAAAGAAGACATCAATTTGATGGGTCCTTCTTGATTTGATATAATCTCTTTCCTTATCCCAAGATTTGATATAATCTCTTTCCTTATCTTAAGATTTGACTTATTGGGCAAGAAATAATAACTTTATTAATTAAAAATCTTATTTATCATGGATTTATGTCCCAAAATAAATAAAGACATTAATTAATAAAATATTAAAATTTCGATGTCTAC